GTTCTTCATTATTAAAGCTCTGAAGTAAAGAAATTTCAACAAACATAAGTAACCCAATCTGTGTGTTCCTCTAGCCCAAACTCCCTCCATTTTTATGGTCTTTTCAAAGTCTATATCAAGTTTCATTTGAGTTTGCAGGGTGAAGGTTGTTATTTCTGCCTTCCTCCCCATAAGAGACAATTTTTTTGTCTTTTCTTTTTAACACAAGGTTGAAATCATGATGAATATTCAAAAAATCTTTTTTGCACTTTCCCAATCCATTTCATAATGAAGAAATATGTAAATACACAACATTACAAAATGTCTAGCAAAACACAAAGCCTATTGAAAAAATATTCCTTCTTTTAGTTAAGTTCTGCCTAAAGATTCTCAAAGTACACAATATAAAATATATATCATATAGTTAATAGGGTGTACACATATATGCTAAGATTATGTTATTGTGATTAACCATAGTGATCATATAACCATTTTTCCAATTGAGAGGGGCAACAACTTTTTTTTTTCCTATTCCTACCTTGAAAGAAAATGATAAGACCCCCTGTTTTAAGTGCAAAACAATTCCATGAAACTTATGTGTATCTCCCAACATTTGTTAAACTTTATGAGGGACTGGTTCTTCCCCAGTCAAAGTCAAGCCCTGGGAAGATTTTTCCATCATTCATTAGCTGAGATCTTGACTTCCAAGGTTTTGAACTGACTATGGTGGAAGGTGAAAAGATTTACCAAGTTCCTAAAGGGAACTTTTTTCTGTTTAGAAGCATCAAACCCCCAGTGTACCTGCTGACGTCTCTATGAAAGTAGTTTCTGAAGGATGAGTTTGAAAGAGGGGCAGAAGCAATCACTAAGCTTCCATCCCACTGAGGAAATGGCAGACCAGCAGAGCAGGAAGGAAAGGTGGCCCAGAAGCACAATGCAAGGGAGAAGCCCCCAAATAACATGGGTTACAAAGAAGGAACTTTTCATATGCTCAACACAAGTGAACCTACACTTGCAATCTGCCAAGGCAGACACAAAGCAGTCATTAAGGTGACTAAACCAAGCATTCAGAGAGTACTAAGTAACAGAAGAATGACAATACAACCTTCAGCTTGGCCCACTTAATAAGCATTAAATACAGTCTATAATTAACTCCACATTCACGATCCTCCTTTGGAAATCTCATTTAATTCAATGCAAACATAGATTCTGCTTGGGGAATGATTCAGAATTTGTAGTGAATGAGACTCTTGTTTCTAAGACCTGGCCAGTCTCAAAGAACTACTACAATATAAATATTTAATAATAACAAAAGCATGCAACTCGTTGCCAAGCGCAGATGTTAGAAGTGACTGCAAATCTTGGCGTTTGGTGGCACCCAGTAATCCACTGGCTGAGTCACCAAAGTGATTGATAGTCTTAAGTTGTTCAGGAACTATTGACCCCCCCAAGGATGAAAATCCATGAGTTCTATCATAGTTTTTGTATAAGTGTTTTTCTCTGCACAGCCAGCAAATGTTATCCTTACAGGTTTTAAAAAGGTTCCTGCTGCTTGGGAAAACTCTTTAGCAGGGAGAAACAGATGCAACTGGCCTGTTTCTATACTTAGTGCATATTTTGTTTTGCTATTCTAATTCTGGTAATGATGTTATGGTTATTACAAACATAACTAAAAGATAAATTCCTCTTGCAACTGATCTTTTTCACTAACCTGGTCCTAAGGAGACTTAGGTCTTGTTTTGACTAAGGGAACAACTCATTCATAAACTGCATTGTGTATGGAAGTCCTCAGCTTTCCATTCATCCTGTGTGTCATTAACAATCTCCACCTGGATACCATCCTGCCCATTAAAAGCTGTTAGCTTTCTAAAGAAGAGATTTCCCAGGCTCAGGCACCAGAACGGAAGCATCTTCCACCTTAATATTCTTCTTCCCAACAAGATTGGTCAGAAGCTGTTATTTCCATGAAGCCTCCACACAGCATCTTTTAAAGCGGCCATCCCCTCACAGGTGAGATTCCTGTCCATGCCAGCCTCCCTAATTACAGCCAGGCATTTATCAGATCCCACAGAAAACACTGCTCAAGTGCTTCTGACAGAATTCCTTCCAAAGTGAACAAATCTGGTTTCATTAGCATTCCCATGAATTCAGGGAGAACAAAGCCATCACATTCCTGTAACTACAGCAGACTGTACTACATCTGAATAAAAGCCCTGGACAACTGCAGGGTAGGGGAATTCAAGTAGCAATGCACAAAAAAACTAAAGATGCAAAGGCAAATGGACACATTACTACTTAGTTATGTCAAATGTTTTCCTTTGTATGACATCCAAAATGCAAGTCAGAGCACTTAAGGTGTAATGCAGATCTACCTTTGCAGAAAATGTTGGTCTTATGGGCCACTAGTTACAATGACATCAACTGACACAGCCAGCATCAGGTTTTGAGCAAATGAAAGATTAAGAAAAAGAATGCAAAGAAAACTAATTGTTGCCCTAAGTGCTTCAAGTCACACAAGATTCTCACATGCTGTCAATTAAGTGAACCCTATAAAGTTATGATTTATGGCAAGATTCCACCAGAGTGATTATATCACAACAACAGACACAATTCAATTATTTCTGCCAGTAAAGTCATCAGTGCAGAACATATTACCCCTTTCAACTCTAAGCATTTTTTTTTAACCAGAAAGTGCTTCTATGATGGTACCATCTTGACTCAGTCACAGCAAGTATTTTTAACCACTAAGTTCCACTGAATTCAGTCTGAACTTAGAAATTTGGTACCACAAAATTTCTGACCAACAAAGGTGAACTTGTAGAATGGTAGCTAATAGTAGCTCTACACTATCAGCCATTTTTCTTCCCAAATTCATTTCCTACATTTTATGGTATTTTCTGTCTTCCATGCTATTAAAAAGAAAAAAACAAAAAGTTCAGAATATTCAGGCCAGAAGTGAAGTCTGCAGGTCATCAGCTCTATTTTCAAAGCAGGATCAGCTTTAATTTTACAGAAGAAACAAATAAACCACAACAAAAAGAAAAAAAAAACCAAACAAACACCTAACAAAGCTGCAGTTAAACAAAAGTTATTTCACCTACATACAGTACTTGCTTTCTTTTTCCTTAAGCTAACTTGTAGTATTTATTTGAATCATGCTGATTTTGTTACAACTCTTTCTAGAAGTTAACTCTAGGACTTTGAAAAATAAACATGCATATTTAGAATATATATTTTTAAGTAGTCAACAAAATCTTTTCTTAATCAAACCAATGGAAAGTTTATAAAGGCTAGGTTTTAAGAAAATAAATCAGTGCTCTGGAAGCCCTCTAGCAGGTAAAAACCTCACTTGGCCTCATGCTGAAGAATAAGAAAAAGCAGACTGTGCCTTGGAGTGCTGTAATCAAACAGGTAAGTCGGCAAAGAAGGGGGAAAAGAATGGAACAGAGGCCTGAGGGGAAGGAAGACTCAAGGGATTTGCTAAAAGCACAATGAAAAGGACAGTGCAAGCAGAAGGAGAAGAAAGAGGAAGACTGAAGCAGTGGTTTGGATGCAGCACAGACTGGGATGACAACTGTGTGTGGACAGTCAATGGGTGTGTTCAATAAATTGGACATTACAAAATACACAGAAATAGTCTGGAAAAAACAATCAGTCTAGTTAAAAAGCTAAAAAACATTTTCCCTCTCCAACACCCAGACATTCACTCAAAGGTTACTTTACCCACTTCACAATTTTGGATTTGTCTTTTTGCTTTGACTTCTACATGTATAAATTGAAGGTAATGTATCATGTGAATCTCATCTATGGGTACACACACTATTGTTGCTGAATCACTAGGATGTCCCAACACAGAAAATTTAACAAAGAAAATGGGTAAATATGTCACCAGCATGGATTCCAGACAGCATGCAACAAAAACTGTGTAGAACACTACATTGAAGCAGAGCAGAAAGAAACCTTGAGCTATTCATGCAGTCAACACTATCCTTCCTGACCACTGAACAAGATACAGAGCCTTTGGAGGAAAATTAATAAACAAATAATCAATATTTCTTCTTTCTTATATGCATTCTGCAATCTTTTTGCCATATGTTACTATAACTGAGTTTATGCACCCAGCTGCATCTGCAAGAGAAGTTCCTACCTAGAAACTTTCTCATCTCCTGCAAGCAGCAATTCCCAACACGCTTAGGATGCTCTTATTCAATTATGGAAGCTCACAGGCTGCTCATGATTATTAAACTGAATTGTTTCACCCTATAGGTACAATGATATTTTCAAAACATTAAGAATGGGGTTCATATTGACAGGACATGCTGTGCAGGGGATGATTCTCAAGTCATTCAAAGCCACGAGATTGGTTCTGGGCCCTTTTAAGTAGAAGGCTTTTAGCAGTGTTTTTGCTCCCAATACCAAAAAATTCCGTCAGGTTGCTGACCTCAGAAACAGGGTGGCTACTGACCCCTAGTGTTCGGCAACCCAGGCTCAATTCGACTGATTTAAGGCAAAAAGCACGAGAAGCATCTTCATCCTTCAGCACTGCAGCGTCCCTCTGACATAGCAAGAGGTCCCCGCCTTGTGCTGAGGTTCCTTCCGCTCTATTTCATCAACAAAAATAGTAATATCCATTTTGAAAGGAACAAGTAGGAAAGAAATATAAATTCCTAAGCATCCCAGGAAATTGTAGATTCCCATTTCTTCTGCTTTCACATCTGTAATTAATTTTTCATTTGGGAGGTTAAGAGAAGGCTATCTAGAGCAGACAGTCGTGGCTTCAAGTGGGTATTTATAGACTCTTGATCAGTTATTAAGGAATTAATGACAGTGAACCACAACCCAAGCTGGCCTGCAAAGCCTAGTGCAAGGAAAGAGTTGTAATTGCCAGGTTGCTGCAGGACTTGGCTGTCCCAGGAAGAAGTGCAGAATTTAGTGAGCCAGCTGCCCAGGTGACATAAAAGTTGCTTACAACATAAAGCTGTAATTACAGAAATTAAGAAGAATCCTACTGTTCTACTTACAATTTTGAGTCCAGGTTCAGGAGAAAGCCCAGTTTGTCATATTCTGGAAAACAAAAGCAAAGGACACAATATCATAAAAGCTGCAAGAGTCTCCCCTACAAAAGGCACCAAAACCGAACAGCAGCAAGTCCTTATAGCAGCTGTTAACAGATTATTGTTACTCCAAAGTATTCCTAAATTAACATTTCTCAGTCTCCAGGAAATACCACAGCAAGAGAACACATGGGTAACCATTAATTCAGAAATCACTAGAGTTAAGCAAGCTATCCAGAGTGATAAAAAGTATTACTGAAACCACTTAGGCAGTGATAAACAAAGCTTTCCTGCTTGCTGTATAAATAATCTTGACACTAAACTGTATGAAAAACATTCCTCCTAAGTTCTGATATGTAGAGCTTTGAAATTTTTCTTCATTCCTTGTCCATTCCAACCCACAACTTCATAATCAAGCAGCTCTTTTTCAAGAGAAAGGTTTTTGCCACTCACAGTGGCAAAAATGCTTAAAATTCAGGTGTTTTCAGTATAAAACTGCAAAGTCAGTTTATGCCATGAACAGGGGACAGCTACAGAAACAAAATCATTCAGAATATATGCAACTCATGTACAAAATACAGCATCCCTAAATATTTTGTGATCTTGTAAATCAAGCACTGGATACAAAAAATAAAACTATTAGAATTCACATGAGATACACAAGGAAAAGGTGCAGTACTGGGTTAAACTCAGGGGCCTCCTCACACTGAGGACCTCTGGGTCTCACAGCTCTACAATAAAAAAAAATACAGAGAAGTAAAAGATAACCCAATCACAGATTAAAAGAAACAACAAGAAAAAAAATTCTCATAAGCTTTTAGAAAGAGACCTCATTGGAAATACAAGATTACTTTTCTCATGAGACACCTCTAGGATTTCTGGTGCAGTAGTTTACCTCTGAAGATCACAAGCTTTTCACTCTCATTTACCAGCAGAACAGCCAAGCCTAGACATGTACCTCAGACACAATGATTGCACCAGACAGGCCAATGTAAACTGTGCCATTGGTTTCAATCCCATTAAGGTTTAATTCCTGAGCCAAAGGAAGTATTCTATTTGACATCACTCAGGTAACAGAAGCTGCAGAACACGTGCACGCTTGATATTGGCACATAGTGTCTGTTCCCTGCCAGCACCCGAGTGCCACCCACCATCCCCACTCCACCTGTGCATCTCTCCTCCACTCCTCACATACTGACAGTTCTGTTTCCCCCATGTGCTGCTTTCTTCATAATTTCTTCCCAGTTTATTCCTCCCACAAGAAATTACGTCCTGTACAACCTCACCTCCTCCACCAGTAGGACTGTGCATAGGAAGGTATCCATTCCATAAAAAGAAACATGCCTTCAATTTTTATTAACCCTTCTGACTCCCAAAACTAACATCTGTACTAAGCAAAAAAACACAAATAATTTTTTTAAATAATTCTTTTTTTAAAACCATCTATAGCCACTGACCCATCTGTCATCAGTCTTATCTCATTCAAACCAACATTGCCTTCTTCCCAACAGGAAATACAAAAAGAGGAAATGCAATAAGAGATACATCACCTCATAACTACAACAACATCCTGGACTTTCTATTAACTCAGCACTTCATCAGCTTTGCAGCCAAAGCACCAGAACACAGATATGAGCTAAACACTAAGGACACACCACCACTGCAATGTTTCACAAGATTTATCTTCTGTTTGTCACAACAGTTTCACCTTCCCTAGACTTCAAGTTTTCACGTTCACTGAAATTATCTTGCACTACCTTGAAACAGGCACTTCCAAAAACAAGTATTACAAAACAAAACAACATTTCTGGTTTCAAGCCAGATGCAGGGGTATGTTCTTGATTTTCACTAGGGTGTAAGTACAGTTTCAGGCTGTAACATCAAACCAGAAGCATCCATGACCCTTCCTCTTGTTGGCAGGTGAGATGTGCAAGCTACTGCATGCAAAGAAATGCTGCTCTCACCATGGGCCATCTCACCCTCACGGGTATTTTTGGAAGTCAGCATTACTATTAGCTTAGAAATCAATCTCTATCACAAGCTGTTTCCCCAGCAAAGACACTAGGACACTCCAAAATTACAGATTCAAAGTTGTCTCCCTTTTTAGTAAAATTGGAGTCTTGTTACAGACTTCCAGTGTCATTTAGCTGTATCACTACAAATACAGGGGCCAAAAGCCTGCCCACATGCTGGCTGGAAGTGACCTGGATTCACAAAAGACAGATAAAGTCCCAAATATCTGAAGAAAATCAAACACACAGAGCCAAGCTGCAGGAAAAGGCAATCCTTGTCTGGAGTTATGCGTCTAAATTAAAACAAGATAAAACACAGATCCACACAATCAAAGTACAACTGAATCTAAAATACAGTTTGGTCAAGGTGTGACAATTACAGGAGAGGAACAGATCACACAGCTCATAACTGGAGAAAGGGGCAATCCCATTCCTACCTGTTTCTCCATTGAAAACAGAGGTGGCAATAGCCTGTCTTGGCACTCATGCCATCTCTCTGTGCCCTTACAGGTTGCTTCCTTCTCCCATAACCTTAGTTTAAAGCCTTACTCACCAAGTTAACCCCTTGATATACAGAAATATTTCTCCACTTTTTCATGTAGTGGAATAAATAAGTGCTGGAATATTAGAGAAAATTAATCAAAATAGTCTGAGAGAATAAGGTAAAAAGACTTCACCAAAAATCAGCTTGGACCAGCTGGCCATGTTAAGTGTGGTTTGATGCTGGCCTCCACCAACATCATCAGGATGATTCTCCCCCAGCACCCCAATCATTAGGGGTCTCTGCACTGAAGGACAATGCAGAGCCACTCACAGGTACAGTCTGGAGAACTCCCTTCACATTTAAGCATGCTGGTAGGTCTGATCCAGCCCAGGCCATGTCTGACCCATCAATTTCCAAACCAGACACTTCTATGCTCTGTGGCACAGGATCTGCTTTTAAAGCAAAAGATGAGTAAAGTTAATAAAGAACTTCGTTTGCATCCCCTGGAAGAACATCATGGAGTAATCCAAAAAAGACTTCGTATTATCAGCCCACAGAAGGCCCATGAAGGATAAAAGTAACATTATTAGAAGAGCACAAGTCATTCTAAAGATCACAATCACCTGTGCTAAGGACCTACAGATCTCAGTCGACAATGTGGTACAGCAGTGCACAGAAGTGAACAAACAGGGAAAATGAAGTTTCATCATGCACCATCTTGCATCATAAGAACAAGAGGTCATCTTAGGTCAAAACCAAAATGCATTTCTACATTTCCAGGAAGATCACAACTGAATAAGAATCTAAGAACTGACAACTATTTCATAATAAAGCATGTAATTGGGATTACATGAACAGAAATAGAGCCAAGCATAGCAATTTCTATAAATTATGCAAATCCTGTGCCAAATTCAATGTTGGCGTTAGCATGGAAATTCCTCCTAAGAATCCAACAGAAATCCAGCTACCAAGCTGCAAGTGAGAGATGCATTGTCTCATGTCTGAAAACTCCATGCAGACCACCCAGGAAGCCATAAAGTCCAGTGTACAGTATCTAGCAAGTATTCAAGTTGCCTCTTGCATCTGCAGCCAATATAGCTATAAAGAAGCAGAAATAGAAAATTAAACTTTTTTTTAAAAAGACAGGCTATATGCAGTTCTAGCTCGGTGTTTAATTGCTAACTGCAAGTACAGGAGGGAAGGCAGAAGATTCAATTTTGCTATTTTATTCAAAATGTTTGTGTTTGTCAAAGAAATCAGTATGATTCTTAAGAGACAGAAGTCCTATCAAGGATGTTCAGACCACCCTGATACATTTCATCCTGTCCAGTGCAGTTTGGTCTCTGCAGAATTGAGGATCTATATGAGCCAAGCCCTGGTCACTATTCACATGCAAGTTCTACATCTGCAGCAAAGGCCACAAGTAAAATAACTTATTCTGCAATGAAAAAGGCCAAACACATCACATTCACCTTGGACTAAGAAAACACATATGGACAGTTATAAGAGTTCACCAATGTAAAATAATTCTGCTAGAACTCGAGAGACAAGAAAGAATTAATTTAAAAAAAGTCATGTTAAATGGATCAACTGAAAAGGACAAAAGAAAGCTTTTATTGCAAGGTTAAAAAAATAGCAGTCAGGACTACTGAGTAACAATCAAAGTACTGGATAAACAAAGACTTAATGTTACATACTTTCCATAGGATTTTCCCTTTAACCTCTTCAGTGATGGAATTTACTGGTGAAAACATTATCTTCTATTTAAATAACCAGGGAATAAAAAAGACTGCAAAGGCAAGTTCAGGAGTGGTACAGCTGAGGCCACCTGAGCTTCTCAGCACAGCCCTGCATGGACTGCAGGCAGGCCTATGCTTCAGTTTCCTCCTTACCCCCACTCAAGCTTTTGCATATGCATTTATCAACCTTTTTCTGCAGGTTGCCAAGTGACATCAAGAAAAACACCAAGAAAACTGCTAAGACAAAGCCCAGTCCCTGGTGCCTTTCCCTGCTCTGTAACAATCACAGAAGGAGCAGAAGTGCTCAGCCCTTGCAGCCCAGCACCAGAAGCTTACTTCACCAGTCTACATCTGCACATCCTAATAAAACTATAGTTACCTCCAATTACAGAAAAGCAACTGACTGCTTTAAGCTGAATCTAGGAAAGACTACAATAGGAAGATGAAATATTTCCTCCTATGATATGCATATGCCCTTTCACTTTTCCCAGGAAGTCATCTGTTTCAAGACAGATTACAGCCTTTGCTAAACATTTACTGCCATGAGTCCACTTGGCAAATGGAGTTAATGCTGCCCTACTGAGTTTCCCAACATACTCTTTATTCTATAAAATTTATCGTATTTCCTAATAAAAGTCAAGAACAATATTAACAAACCAGTAATCTATATTGGCTTTTAGTGACTTAGAAGATGTGCTGATTTGATGCAGAGATGTCACGAGAGAGAAAAATCACATTGAAATACTCTTAATTTGAGGCATTCATTAAGCCACTTCTTGACATTTGCACCTCAAATCATTCACAGCTGTATTTTCAACTGGAGGAATAGAGCATTAATAAGACAGATGATGATACTGAACACACTGGCAAAATCACATAAGGACTATGAAACTGCTTCATGACAGTCACTGGCAAAGATTCAAGCAGCTCCCACAGTCAACACTCAGAAAAATAAAGAATGAAGTAGAACTTCATTAATCAAGAATGAAAAGGAAAAAGCATTTCTGCAGAAAAAAAGCCACTAAAACCAGCAGAGAAAATACATGTATTTCCCTTTTTTCTTTCTGCCTTACAGGAACGAAGAAATATACAACATAGTAAGTTCATCTTTCCTTTCACATCATTATCACATAGTCCTAAGACAGAAATGCAATTTGGGTGAAAAACCCCAACACTCTAGAAACACATCAGCTCCAAACATTACTTAAAGTTGCTTTCCTCAAACTAAGAATGCCTAAAGCTAATTACCACTGACCTGAAAATCCAGGAAATATCAGAGTGTGCAACTGTAGACATTTGTACTATCAGAGTATCATTGAGAAATCAAATGAACAGCAAAGAATCTTCTGCAAGTCACCAATGTTTCTCTCTTATGCTAGGAATCTATCACTGCCCTATAGATTTGATACCTCATTCAGTTGTATTTCTATTCCTGGCCTCCATCCATACCACTCTCTATCTAAAACATAGGCAAGCAGTCACCAAATTCACTCTGGAGCTGTATTTGGTAGGACAGACACAGGGTTATTCTCATCCTTCACACAATGGTTATCTGAGCATCTTCAGCAGCTGAATGAAACAGAGAAAGTTTCCCTCATAGTTCTCACAGCTTTTCCCAAAATGGTTTATGGACTTTGACTTAAGGAATCACTAAGAACAAATTCCAGAAGAAGCACAGATTTAAATTCTCAGATGATTACTCCACTGTCAGTGTGAACTCAGCATTTGGAAGCATGGTCTTACATGTGGGCTGTCACAAGCACGTGAGCTGCAACAGACAGCTACTTTAAACCAAAGTCTGCGAATCCAGAAGAGTTAATACATGCAAACAATTTGAGCAAGACCTAGATAACACTTGGTTGCTTGTAATGTTAGAACTAGCACCTTTTAAGCCTGCAAGTGAGAACATCTGCAATGAATCAGTGGTCAGTACTGCAATCAAACACATCTGACATGAGCATAAGCCTACAGCCCAAAGGTATTCAGTATTTTCAGCAAGCTCAGTAGCATCTGGGAAACTTGCACATCCAGTGCACTCCTATCCAAGGCTTAGAGAAGAAAAATTTAGCTTGCTGTTAGACACAGGAGGTAGGAAAAAGTCTTGAACAAAAATAGCAGGGGTATAAATCTAACTTTCAAGGTCCAATGTTTGATTTGGTAGCAACAAAGTAAAACAAAGTAACTATAGAGAAAAGAAAAAAATAAAAGAAGCACTAGCTGTCTATGGCAAGTGAATGAAATCTAGGACTCCTCAAACACCCTGTGTCCTGATTGTTTTCCCAACTTCAGAGCATGACACCCTTCTTTCTGAAATGGTTTCAGCTGAAACTCTGGCCTAGACATAACATCAAACACTTATCTCAGCTGCTCAAGCTTTATCTTTTAAGGGAACAGACAGCCATGAAGAGAATTACAAAAACATCTGGACTTGTGAAGGCTGGACCACAGCATGAACCTCATGGTTCAGCCTCACTCAAAACACATTTGGCTCACATGCCCTCTACCCAATAATCTCCTATGAAGCTCCATAGCCAGATGAGCTTCTGAACACTCAGTTCAGAAAGTTTATCCAGAAAAACCTGGACCATTAAGTGCCATTAATCTGAGTTGCATAAGGACAGATTTGCAGCTTTTCTGAAAACTGAGACTTGCATGTGGGACAAAGTGAAGGGGAAAGCCAAGATAAGGACAAACAGCCAATTCAAGTATGATACAGAAGCTGCACCAAGACATTGCCCTCCACATGGCATGACTAACAGGTACTAAAAGCACTTCTAAGTTGTTTAATATGCAAATATAAGTACCAGTTTTAAGCAGCATGAAATCTTAACAGGGAGACTTATTCTCAGCTGGTTTTGACTAATAAAGAAAAAGGTATATGTAATTTTATGTTTCAAAGCATATAACTTTAGCTGAAACATCACCTACTGGGAATGGCTGGGCCTGGAGCTGCCATGGTTTCTGTGGGTTCTTTCTGGGCTCTGTCTTTTCCTGGGTCTGCAGCAAGGTGAGATGGGATGGACAGCGGAAGCACAATAGCCACAGTTTTTCTCTCTCTCCTTCCTGTTCAACAAGGAAAGCTATCCCTCAGTTGGACAGATATCACACATCTTGACATCTTATTAAACATACCAGTTCAGAGCAAGGTGAACCTTGCAGCACAGTAAGTGCAAAGTACTAAACACAAGAGCAATAAACATACAGCTTTCTCGGGCATTTCTGAGCCTCCTTTCTCAAATATATGAGTTTTCTTCACATTTCTTCAATGAAGGAAGCCAGTCTTGTTGCAGTGAAAGGGTTTACAAAAGATCAGGTCTTACTGTCTCAATTCCTAACCAACTCAAGCTTGAGTTGTAAAATGCAAGCAGAACAAAGACCAGTGCTTTTAAATCAGGCCCAGGCAGTGCATGGCTCACATGAGCCTGTCTCCCACCCTCCAGATTAACAGAACTCCAAAAGACACAGAGTAGTTGAGCTGTTTTTCATCACTAAGTTTACTTGCCTATTGGTGGAAACATTTATGGTTAACTCCACAGATACAAAACCTGTGGTTAAAATTCAAGCAAGGATATCTCAAACCTATGCAACTTCCTCTCTACTTCTGCAGGCTGAAGAGACCACAACCCAATACAGGAGACAGGCAACAACACACTTCAGTTATAACACAGTAATTAGTAAGAGAGAATGAACAGAGGATTTCTTCCCCCCATATACACAAAAAACATATCCATTTGGCACCCTAGAGATACTCCCACATCAGATCATGCACTAAGATTAGATCTATTTCCAGATACAAGTTTTAGAGGAGATACAGGGAGAGCAGAAAAAGTTTGAGGTGTTCTAAACAAAGTAAGTTACTACCACTAGTTGAGGGGTTAGTAAATCAGATGTGTGTTCAAGCTTCAATGTTAGTGTCAGGCAGCAGGCTCTCTTTCAAAGTGTGCAGGCAGAAGACAGGTGCTATGTTGGAAGGCAGCATGTTCCCCCTATCAACCTAAGAGGAAAGGCTGGCAAGCAAGACAAAAAAAATCCAAGCGAAGGTTTTGTCTTTTGTAGAAGACAATAAATATCCCCATCTTTTAAGTGTTAAGGGGTTTAAAGTTATAGGAGCAATTCTTAGTCTTTCCCTTGCACTTCATATATCCTTATATACACACTTTAAACTGAATTTCATCAAGTATCATGCTCACTGTGGCGTGTCTTGGCTGCAGCTTGCACATTACATGCAGCCAAATGGAGAGTTACTGATCTAGTGAAGTGCTCCTAGCACAAAAGAATTTTTAATTTCTGGTTCAGTTTCATTGTAGGTCATGCTTAGGTTCCAAACAAAATGAGATTGGGAAGGATTTGCCCTGGGGTTCAATAATGCTGGTCAATCTCCACCCAAAAAAAAAGTTTCCAGCCCTATTGGTTTAGTTACGACTCCTTCGTCTTCTCCTTCCTGGAAGCATTCCTCATGTCTTTCCCCAAATAACTCAACTGTTTGTTTAGCTGGGAAACTATCCTAGTAGCATGAAACAGTTTTTCTTCAGCTGGTAGGTGACATCATCTTAATGCCTTTCACATGAGAAGAGGAGCACAAACTGCATCATCAACACGTGTCCAGGTCGCTTCCTCGCTGGGAAAGGGAAGAGTCCCGCAGGTTAATCCTTGTGTCCTACTAAGGCTCTTAAAACTCCCACTGCACTTGGGAAAGGACCTATTTACCCTTTGGCTAGATGGTTGATTCCCACAGAAGCCTGACTCAGTGTCCTGCCTCCCAACATGGCTACCATGTCCAGTTAAGGAGAAGCCTTGTCATGAGGTGGGAGATAAAGAAGAAGGCAATGTTGTACCTGAGCCTATTGTATGTCCAACGGAGTCAAAGGAAAGAACCACTGAATCTGTAACACAAGAGTACAAGTTCATTTTCCCCTTTTTTTCAGCAGCATTTCTTGCTGTAACTTTTTTTTTTTTTGTTATTTTGCTTGAGCAATTCCTTGTGCTCCCTTCTGCCAGGAAGCAGAACAACTTCTTCACCAACCAGAAAGAAAACAGGCACCTAGCAAAGGCAGAACAACGCAGTATGCAGTAAATCACAGTGCTGTTAACCAATGAAGTAGCCACAATTCATTGAAAATAAATTAATTTTATGTCTAATAAGCTTGGTCAACAGAATCATAACATGCTTTGACTGCTGGCCCAGATAGTTTTTTTATCAAATGTATTCCCAATATTTTGTCCCCACTTAGAGGACTTGCCTGTTACGATCAGTTCTTCCCGACACGGTTTGCTAAGCCAAGCACTTTGTGCTCCTTGCACTCCATGCTCACCATGTTTCCCCCATCTTTACTCACAGTAGTGGCTTCCAACTCAATGCATTTCAATTCATCAATATCTTTTCACCTTTGTACTATATGCAACACATGTGTCAAGCATCAAGAAAATATAACCTCTGTACTTGATACTCTTTTATTTTTCTATCTGGGAATCACAACAAAGCTTTTATCCATGACTGCAGTGGCAATTCTTGCTCACCAGTTAATGTCTGACACTTAGACACTGTTTCATATGATGGGGCACCCTTTGCTTCAACTGTGGTTTAAAGACCAGAGTTTTTATATATGCAACTTGACATTTGGCCATAGAAACCCATAGTGCCTGCTTGCAATCAGCTTACCCCATGATCCAGACCCCTCTATAAGTCATTCATTTTCCTCACATAGGAGCCTTCCAACCTAGAATTTGTTTGCAAAATTATCAGTAATGATTTGATATTCTGTTCCAAGTGGAGTTGCATTATGTTATGCTCAATAATGGGACTTGCCCCCAGCTTTATGCTTATTTGAGACAAACCAGGATTTTCTTCGGCAGCAAGCCTCCTGGTTTCCCATCTATTTTCATGGAAGTCCTATAATGAAGGAGAAAGATGACCAAATTCTATTTCCCTAACAGTGGAGCAAAATAGGGCCCAGAACTTAGAAAAAAATTGCCAATGGGCAAAACACAGAAAAGAACAAACCAGCACAATAGGATTAATAATTTTATGGCCTGAGAAGCTTTAAACTGACACAGCAACAGCTGAACTGCCTTTCATCTTCATCTAAACAAATGGTCTGAATCCTTTATCTTTGTCACTCAGGTTTCAGATGTGTGATCAACTCACTACACATCCTTTGCAGCACCACAAAGGCTGCCAAGGTGCAAGCCCTCAGTGCAAGGCAAAAAGCTCAAGCACAAGAAGACTTAGCCTGCTGAAGAGCTTAACCTCCTGCTGCACCACTTGAAATTTAGCCAGGCTACAATCACAGGCAGTTACCATGTTAGAGCTGAAAATAACTTGACAGGACTGAGCCCTGGGCTTCTCTATATTTTACATTATCCTGGTGCTTATTTCCCAACTCTTAAAAATGCAATAAGAAACTGCTAATTTTCAAAATAAACACTGTTGTTTTAATAAGGGACTGTTAATTTGACTGGGTTTAAAAGAATTTAGAAAAAGGAGGTCTGTACTGTCACGGATCCAGCACTATGGTAGTAACGTTAAAAAAATTAAAAAGAAGATATTGCTAGTCTCAAAACTTACTCCAACAAAAATAAAAATCCATCTGGACTTAACAACTGTATTTCCTCTTTTGGGAATAAAATTCAGACATCATTATATTATTCTAAATAGCAAGGAGTTTAATTCATTTTAACTGCATTAACTTCATTTGTCATCAATTTTAAAGTATCTGTGTGGGGTTCTACTTTTAAAAAACTGTTGAGATTTTTATCAACACAAAGTACTGCTTTGTAGTTAATGTCAAATTTAAAAGCTGTTAATTTTCCTAAAATATATTTTGCATTCAAACACTGCACATGAAATATTAGGATTTATCTGAGAATGGCTGAAAAGCACTGCAAGCACCAAACTAATAACATTATTGCAACCCACAAAATAGCATAATGTTTCATTCCCTTAACTGAGAACATTATCTTCCTCATATAAAAAAAAAACAATTTACAAGCAGATTAGAAGCTCCCTTTTCCAATCCAGTCCTTCATGCTACTATTAGTTTCAACTAATCAAATTCACTATGAATAACCTGAATTATAGTTAACTCCCCCTAGACCTCCAGAAGTAATTTCACTAAAAATGGATTTTTATTAAAACACTGTGTTTATTTCTGGTATTAACACTCCAAAAGTGAAGAAACTATAAACCTGGAAAAGGCTGAGAAGATAATAATATGTCGCCTTTCTTCTACCCCCAAAACCTACTCACATCCAAACTCAGAGCTACAGGTTATTTCTGTCAGAATTTGATGGAGATAGATAAACATTTCTTTGAAGCAAGCCAGATTTACTTGCAAATACACTGAGTTCTGCTTCGCAGAACTCAAAAAGAAAAGTTTCTTTGCTTCTATTTTCAAATCTCTTCCAGTCATCGCTCGGTTGAAAATCCCCCTGACTTTCTAGGGGGTCTTTTTTGCCGAGACAAAGTGCAGCTCTGTCTGTGCACAGTGCCTTTCCCCAAGCCCCAGGGTGGGCTCTACCTTTCAAAGGCAAAATTCAAAGGCTTTATCTTTCAAAACTCATTAAGATACAATGCAAAGCATACCCACTTACATGCACCCTTGCTTTAGGTGCCAGGAAGTGTTCGTGCCTGAAGGAGCAATCCCCAACCTTTCAGATACCTATTTCCATAAATAAGCTTAAATTTTTGTCCTCCTGCCTTAACTGAAGGGCAACCTTTATGCCTAAATCATGAAATCTGACACACAGTAACTTGCCAATATGTACAGCTTAAGGCTGCACATGCCACAGTGCCAGTCTTCTACATCTGTTTTCATGTTAACTACAATCTTTTTTTCAGTGGCTCTAGCAGCTTAAAAAAGAAAAGGAAAAAAAAAACCCAAAACAACACGATATAGCAAAATCCAAATGTAATTCTGGATCTTATCCAATCCATCAGAAGAAGCAAAGACAGCACAAGCACTCACTCAATTTAGAAGGCACTCGGTGCCAGGAATAATGATGGCTGAGACCTCACCAGCCAGATTGCAAAGTTGCTTTGGGTCACTTTGTGTCAACTTAAACCTGAAATTGCATTGGGACCTATGCTCTGGGTCACTTTCCCTCACTCCCACCATCCAGTTAGAGCATCACAAATTGGACCAATATACAAATGTGCTCCATCATGCCCCACAAAACAGCGCTGTGCAGGGCTACCTGAAGGCACTCCATCACTTTGGAGTGTGGAGTGTTTCATGAGACCCTGCTCCACTGCTGTGAAACCAACACAAGGGTCCCACTTCATTCAGGAAAAAGGAGCTCGAAGACAGACTCTGCAAAGACCCTCAATGCTGGTCTGGGAACAAATTTAAATCATTTCCAACAATGGTCCATACAGGACCCAGAGCTGAATGCACCTTCAAAGCAATACAATTGGACTTCAACAGATCTGTGCTGTAGTAAAAGAAAAAACAAAAACAAAACCCAAACCTCAAAAAAACCCACCTTCAAGCAAATCTGTGATGACTAAATTTATTGCTGCACTTATACCACACTCCAGATAAGACATCCAGGTATGTGGACTGATTGTATTTCAAGGCAAGGGATGCACTTCAAGTGTTGCTAACCCCTTACCTTTCTCAGGGCCTGGATAACTGTGCACCACATTCCCCTGTCCCCAAGACAGACAAATCATCCATCTTGCTGCATATATTGTGCATCTTAGTTCAGGGCATTTCTGGACACCAGACTAGTATTTAACTGCTACTTGTAACACATTGCTGTATCTTTTCCAGTACTCTGGTTTCTGAACAGAAAAATAAATGCAGATTTGGGTCTTCACAAATGACTGATGACCCGCACCAACTGCAGATTTGTAGGAGACAAAGCCATGCTGAAAAGCACCTGAAGTTTCATACTCCATGCACATCCCTAGATAAACATTTACCATGGGTACTGCACTGAAGAGATGTATGGAAACAGCTCTTAAAAGCCCAGTTGTGTCAAGTTCTTAAAATCATGCAGGAGCAAATACATGGATTAATTTCCAACACAAATACTATCCTTACTTTGATTTCATAATTGAAGAAGATGCAATATACAAACCAAAACATAAGCAGTGACAACACATAATGAGAACTGCAAATATAATCCACATTCAAACAAGAACTGTACATAAACTGCATGTTTACCTAAGTGCTGTTTCAAAATTTCAGTTAAGATTTTTATAGTAAGTCCCTCTGAGAAGTCACTAAGTTTTTATTGCTTTTTACAGATTCGCCCTGCAAGGATTTGTAGATATTTGTCTCAACCTATTGGAAACCAAAGAAGCTGAACCAATAACTTCTCTCTCCTATTTTTTTTTAGGGGAGGATTGTTTAGGGGTTTTTTAAAGAAAAAAAAAATGAAATGCAAAACCAGACTTCAGCAATAAAGTAACTTCCCCAAAAAAACCAACATGATTGCGTGCTGCTTTGGAAATGGTCCTGAGAAACCACAAACTGTCAGTCCCACTGGAGTTATAAGAGTTTAATAATAAAGGCTTAACACAGCCTCAGTACCACATACCAGTATAGCAATACACTCCACAGGCCAAGCCAAACAGGGAATACAAGAACACATCACAACATAAGGCTGTGATTTGGCACATCCTTCTTCACATGTTCAAGCCCTGAGGTCTGCATTGCTTTCTTACATGCATTATCAGTGTCTCTCATTCCATATACCTCTGTTCTCCAGATACTCTGATGGATTCCAACAGAACTACAACCTGTATTTAATAACATCTAATGTAATTTATACCTCCAGAGCTTGATTAGAGACCAGAGATCCTGCAGAGCTCCATCAGCTGGCCTGGGGATGGCAACTGCAGTAATATTGCCCAACAGAATTTTTATTCAGAGTCAGA